ATATATGTCAGCGTCCAAACTGAGATTACGTCCAATCTCAGATTGGCCTAGGCGAATGTCGGATCCGAGATTGGACGCGTCCAATCTCGGATTCACGCAATTCTGTTCATTAAAATATCAGTTACCCTTTAGACAGACCTTGGATTCGAACTTTTTTTTTGAAATTATGTTCACACAATGCCAGTTTGTTTGGCACAATTGTCATTTGGCAGATTTGAATAAAATTTTAGGAGTTATGAATAAATTTCTAGAGAACAACAACTTTTGTGAAAAACTTTTATTACATTTTTGAGTCTAAATTTAGCTTCTTCCTAAATGCTTGTAATACTTAAAACGGCATTGTGTGAACATAATTTCAAAAAAAAGTTTGAATCCAAGGTCTGTCTAAAGGGTAATTGATATTTTAATGAACAGAATTGCGTGAATCCGAGATTGGACGCGTCCAATGTCGGATCCGACATTCGCCTAGGCCAATCTGAGATTGGACGTAATCTCAGTTTGGACGCTGACATATATATTTGAATGTAATGCTCTTCGCCGAAAACAAGATTGTCGAAAACTCACATCGCCGACTCGACGTGGAAATTTATGGTGAATTTCCACGTCGAGTCGGCGATGTGAGTTTTCGACGATCTTGTTTTCGGCGAAGAGCATACTTACCATATATTTCAGGTCAGTCATCAAAACAACACAAATTTTGTTCTGTTTGCGAATTGACAAAAATAATTTCTTCGATTTATCCATCATCAACAAAAAAATCTGTTCAGTCAGATACCTTTACTATACCATCGGCTGATTCTATTAGAACTCATATACATCTAATATCACCTGTATTTACTATTGGACATCAAGAAGATGTCAGTGAATTTATTATTAGTTTTTTACATAATATTTCTTGTTCTTTACCATCACATTTGTCGATATCATCGACTCTGTCTACGGAAATAACTATCATTGATCAAATATTCAATATTAAACTTCTATCATCTGGACAATGTTCGTCGTGCTTATATACATTTAAAAAAGAAGAAACTACTAATATGCTATTGATTGAAATAGAGAATTTGAATCATTTAACTGATGCACTTGCACATTTTGTTGATCAAGAAGCTGTTAGTACATTTCTGTGCAGCAACTGTCATAAATCTGTGATACTTGATAAACGTATCACTATCAGTGAATTATCACCAATCTTAATTATCAATTTCAAACGATGCAAAATGGCATTTGATTCAAGTGAAAAACTTTTGCACCAAGTAAATTACAATGAATTATTAGATGTTTCACCTTATATGACGTCTCATTTACTGAATTCAAACGATAAAAAAGAGAACAAAAATCCATCAAATAATATTCTCTATAAATTGTACGCCGTTATTAATCATGTTGGTGATGATCTTAGCAGTGGTCATTATTACTCATATATTCGATCACGAGAGGACCTCTGGTTTCTTGTTGATGACGCACACTTTCGAAACGTGCCATCAAATGAAGTTTTAAATCATTCAGAAGCTTTAATGCTATTTTATGCTAATACATTTAATATATCCACAACAATTGATACATCATTTTCACAAATACCACAACCATTAATGTCTTCAACAACACCAAACAACATTGCTTCGTATTCTTCTATTTTAACTGCATCCGTATGAATATAATTCGTATTACATATATGATCCTAATATAATCCCATTTAGATTCTAGCAAATTCAACGTCCATATATGAATCAACCATGTATTTGAATGAACAACTACCGAAGACAAAATCTTTAATAGATATGATGACAGCGATGTCATCCGATAATGGTTAGTTTCCTTTTAACTTAATCTTGTTTTTTTCTCGATTATTCCATTTTAGTCCAATCTAAAAATACTACTGAATCAACTTCGGAAAATATTCATTCAATAATTAATTCACGAAAAAGTATTATGTTAAATAATGAATCTCTTCCTGGACAAACAGAGAGTAGTATAACAATCGGTAATCAATATTCAAATTATCGAATCGAAAAAAAGACAAAGAAAACTGATCATATATTTAATAATCGTATGTACAATAGCCCAATGCTATAGACTTTTTTAAGTATAATTTTCATTTTTCTTTTACTTAAGATGCACAATGTCGATCAATACCTTCTGAAAAACTTTCGTTTTTTCAAAATAAAACTAGTAATGACTCAATAGATAAAATATGTGACAGTGAAGAAACACGAAAAGGTTAGTCAAATTAATTATGTGTTATGTATATTTTTATACTACTAATTGCATTAAAAGAATCGTAGAATAACTTTTTAAAAACCGATTAATAACTAGCTTTACTTATTCAGTTAAAAAACGTGTTTGGTTTTTGTAAATAATAATAAAATTGTCCTCCTTATGTTAATTTTATTATATGATCGCCTTTCGATGTTGAATCACGTCTTCTTCAGGCAATAGTTAAAGTACTATTATTATGTTTATCTATTTTTTTTTTCATATGTAAATCATATGATCTTTGTCAAACTGACAAAAGAACGAAAAAAGAAACGAGCAGAATATAGTTTCTTTTCTTTTCTTCTTTTTTCGTTCTTTCGTCAGTTTGACAAAGATCATATGATTTACACATGAAAAAAAAATAGATAATCATAATAATAGTACTTTAACTATTGTCTGAAGAAGATGTTACTCAACATCAAAATGTGATCATATAATAAAATTAAAATAAGGAAGCCAATTTTATTACTATTGATAAACATTAATGACCTTCCTAAAAATAAAATATTAAATGTATTTGATTTCTAGATTAATATTCTACAAATAATCATATGATAACAACATAAAATGTGGCCTCTTTATACATAGAAAATCCTTTGTAAATAATTTCTTGATAACGGCTTATAAGCATCACTAAAGTTTCCTTCATTTGATCGACTTTTGTGCAAAAAAATTAAAGCAACTTGCATTTTGAAAAAGTTCTTTTTTATAGAAAAAAAAACAGTATTCAAGTATTTGGTTCTCTGTTCTTTCTCTATGCACAAATGATGAATTCAATTGACGTTTAAGAAAGCATTGATTACTATATTACATATTCTATAATTTAATTAATTTAATATATGTTTTTGAAACGTTAATATATAAAATACAATTGTCATAGCTTTCATTTGTGCAGTTAATCTTTATAAAAGACCTAACCCCTGTTTTCTATTTTTTAAGAGACATGTTATAATTTCTCTTTCTAATCAATTCTCTAATCAAAACTATTACTGTATTTTAGAAGCCTGTAAGAAATTAGCATCGGTTGCATCAGGTGTACCAATTGACGAAATATTTGAAGATACACTTCCTCAAAAACACAACTTTCGTTTAAATGAAACTGAACTTGCCAAAATGAATCGATTTCGAGAACAAGAACTAAAAAAACAATCTGATCGTAAAATGCAAATTATGGGATTAACATCTGATCCATCTCTTTTACGAAAAAAAATTTCGAAAAATGCAAATACGTCTACTGCCATTAACAATATAAATGGTAATGAATCTTATCGAAAGGAAAAAAAAATTGAAACATACAGCAAGATCAATATTGAATATCTGAATTTACTTCTGCCTCATCTAAAACATTACAATTCAGCTTGTGGTCTATGCATTCGATCGCGCTACTTTGGAAAGAATGCATCGAAAGGAACTTCTCTTCTTGTAAGATGCATTTTGAAATGTAATGGTACTATTTGTAAATTTAAATGTACAGTACATGTCATGAATAATGGTCATTGTTTTATAATTGCAATAAATCCAAAAATTTCTCATCATATAGGTGAACGAATAAGTCGTCCTATTCGTGGATCTCGACGACAAGCAATCATTGATAAGTTTAAAGCAGGTGCTTCAGTTTATCGATTACACGCTCAATATGATAAAGAACGAACCAAAAATGAAAGAAAAGGTTTTAATTACGATTGCACAGGAAAATCAAGAAAAATATTTAAAAAGATTAAAGCTGAAGCGACAGCTGAATCTTTGCTTGCACCAGATATCACATTAGGTATTTTACAACTTCATGATCAATTAGTTGATGAAATTAATAATGATGGAACGATCAAAGGTGCAATACAACTTGTTCAACTTCGACCATTTTGTATTGTAGCATTTACTGAAGCTTCAGTACGTTTGTATGATGTTATCGTGAGTCAACCAGAAACGGTTTTATCATGGGATGCTACTGGTGGCGTAATTAAAAACACCACATCAAGACAGTGTCTTTACTACGAATTAACAGTATCTCATCCAAATATCGTAAATGAAGACAGTTTAATTCCATTAACTTTTATGCTATCGGAATCTCAATCACTTCTTACTGTTATTAATTGGTTAAAAACATTTAAAGAATGCTATAAAAAAGTACGTTTAACTTCTTAGCTTGATTAGCTCAATTTATTATAACTATTTTGGATGAAATTTATTGCTTAAGTTCCATCTAAAAATAGATTCTAACGAAAAAATTACTGAGAGATGTAGACATTTATGCCATGTGATTTCTAGGTCGCAGTTGATGTGAAGAGTATTGTTCCATACAATATTATATATAAGGATTCATATTTTTAACAGCTAGTATCAGTTGTTTCTTTCTTCATTTGTCCTTAATAATTTAATTAGGAAAAAAGTAATAGTAATATGTTGCATATTTTGTAAGATGAATCGACTTATTTCCATAATGACAAAGCTGATTATTATTCAATGTACTAGGTTTGCTCTATTCTAACCTTACATCGTACGTACCTTTTGTCGAAATGATGCTTGAACGATCGATGCTGCAAATCTTATTGCTGAAACCAGGTTGCCCTCGTTAAGAACTTGATGAACATAGACACCTTTTGTATCGCATATTAAATTGAACTGTATTAATATACTTAAACAATACACAATTCTTATATTTCAGGTATTTCCTCATAAGAAGGATTCATTTCCTAGACCAGCAGTGATTTTATCGGACCGTGCTCAAATTTTTCTTCAAGCTGCTCTTCATATATTCAATGAAGAGAATTATCAGCAATTTCTTGCACGTGCTTATCGTATTGTCACCAATCAACCTATTGAAAATGACTTATCGAAAACCAATATTCACGCTTGCTTGTCTCACTTCATGTTGGCAAGTGAAGAAATTCTACCTGGATATACATTTTACGTTTGTTCTATTTAGGATATGCGAAAACGTATTAACAAATACTTACCTGAAGATATTCGTGAATTGGGTATGTGGTGCATAGCACTGTTAGTGAATACAAATACATGGATTGACATGAAAGAAAATTGGCGTTTAATTTGTGAAGTTTTTGTAAATTATTCAACAAATGAAACCGTACATTATAAACAACATTATTCAGTTCTTCTTTCTCGCATCAGCCAAATCACGAACGATCCAAATTCATCAGCAGCTATTAATCAGTCACGCAAATTTTTATCACAGTCGGTTGATCCATTTGAATTTGGTGATGATAATGAAAATGATAATCTTGGATATAATCTAGTAGACTTCAATGAAACAGCACAAAAGACGAAAACATTGAACAAGTCACATGCTGGCCGGTCGTCACTTAATAAATCGGTATGAAAACAAATTATATATATTTATAATTAAATGCCAAATGTAGTTGTAGTCAGAGGTTTTGGTTAATGAACGAACTGTCGGAAAATCTTAATTATGAACCAAGAGTATATATCGTGAAATCTACACTATGACTTTGAAGAAATTTCCTGTTTAGTCTCTACCTTTGCCGTTTCTGAATGAAGTCTTTTCTATTTATTATTCCAATTTTAGAGAATGCAATACAAATAATTCATAAAAGTATAGTTGATCTAAACAAAAATGAGATTTTACATATGCAATCAGTACGTCTACCATAGGGAAATTGAAATTAGTTTCTTTTTACCAAACCATTAGTAATTTGCTAAAAACATATCAATGAAAATAGATAACACTGAGTATCTTATTTTAATTGTTATAATATATATTGGGTAATCTGTCAAAGTCATAATTAAAGAGTTCTTACCTTATTCGTACAATAAAGGAAAAAAAATTTGTATCTTTTAGAATTTCTTTAAGGGTATTTACATTTGTGGGAATATGTTCCTTTGAATTGAAGATAAAGATGAACGCATTTGTGGAACATTCGAGGGCGTCCATTGTGCCAGTTTAAATATATCGATACAGATCCACTTTTTTGTAAGTGAAAACACTGAAATGCACTATCAATTTCTTAAATATAGAAAAAAAGATTCAATGTTATTTTCATAGGCTATTATAACAAGTAGAAATGCTTGATGTTCGATATATATATCATAGTACTAATCAATGCACGAGTCACATAAAGTTTAATAAAATCTACAGATTTATTACAACTACTTGTGTTTGTGATGCATTTTATTCTCCTCTTATATTGCACTTGATGAAAGTCAAGAAAAATTTGCTTGTTTCGCAACTCCTAAAAATTTAGTTGTGTAACTTGAAGTTTTTCTTAGCCTCTGTCAAAAACATCGTAATCTTTGTTTTAATATTTCTTGATAGATTATTGATGAAGAAAAGCTACTAAATGAATTTGACAGTAATTTCAAAAATGATCTTCAAAAAATTTACAATTGCTGTTACGAAAATCACGTGAAGTCAGCTGCTCCTTACTCTCCATCGGATAAAACAACCAAATCCGTCCGGCAATGGCTTGCCTTTTTCAACCAAAATTGCATACCAACAGTTGCCATTTGGTCCAACTTATTAATGGGTATACGTATTCTTCTTCTAACTATTAATTATTTGAATCTTTATAATATACGTTAGGTAATCTATCACGTCATGTAACATCATCAGTTCAGGCATTTGACAATCTACTTTTAAGTACACATGATCAAAGAACAAATGCTATATCGGAACGACGTATGTGTATAGTCAAACGAACACAGCTTGGTATGAAAGTTTAGATCATAAGGATAATAAGTAAAATATAATTTATTAAACTTTCTATAGGTACTCAGACTTATATGCGTTCGGATGTTGTTTTGCAAATACTTATTCAAGATATGCAAAGAATGACTGAAAACTTCGCCGTTTCATATATGGCTATAACATCCGAAGATACTTATAATGAAGTTCGTCAACAAAAATTAAAAGAATTGCAAGAAAACTGGAGAAAAAAAAATCGTCGTGGTTCTGGATTTTACACAAAGAAACCGGAAACATCAATAATGAACAGTTTGAAGTATACACTAATTGCATCTTCAGCAAAAGTCAATGATGGTCTTTCAATACCCAACCTACCTGTTTCAAACTGGTTAAATGTTGCAATTGGAGTATTAATTTCAATTAAATCAATTCGTGAATCACTGCCTTTATCACCAACAATATCAACACCTTTTCTTAATGATATATTATGTTTCATTGATAAATGGATAACTTCCTCAAATCCTGCCAAATCACGAAAACAAATCATTATGGAACAAATGCAACTATCAAATACTAAATTTCAAATACCAACTGATGTTCCAATTGATGTTAATGAGCAGTTAAATTTTATACTTCATCAGATTCTTCTTCGAATTATTGATTGTTCCATACCTGCAATTAAAATCTATTCTTGTATAACTTGTAAATGTACTTTACAAACTAGATTTAACATAAGTTATATTCCGATCAATATGGCTGAAGGACAATTTCAACTTCGTCATCAGTTACACAATTACTTCAGTAGTTGCATATCCGATCATTTATGCAGCAAATGTTCAATGAGCATGTCTCGTCATATAAAACTACTTGAATGTAAAAAAATTAATAGTGCCTTAATTTAAAAAAATGATGTTAATTTTATTTGATTATTTATTTTAGGTCCATCTGTAGTTATTCTCTATATTAATCATGTTAACATTTCATCAACGATTTTACGTAAACCACCGAATGCAATTTTTTTTCAATCTTTCTTGGAAAATTCTAATATTGGCTGTTCATCATCAAGTATATATGACATCGTTGCATTTGTATCTATTATGCCAAATACAGAAAAAAAATTAGTCGTAGCTACAAAAATTAAACAACGATGGAGTATTAGTTCAATGAAAAAACTTATTGGTACAGGGGAAAAATTATCTAAGCTATTTGCTCATAGTCGATTAATTATTCTGGAACGCGTTCGAACGTGCGACAGCGATTTTACTCATGCAATCGCGCAATGTTGTTCCCATAATATTAATAACATTGGAAAAAATAGTCTTAAAATATCCAAGACTTTGAATGATGCTGTGAAGATGATCGAAAACAAATCGGTACTTAGCAACCTATGTTCACTTTTATCTTCGCACTACACTACACATTATCAATGTCTAAATTGTCAATCTGCACCAAGTTCATTATCAATTACACATAAGTGTATATCGATTTATCAAAAACATACCGAACATTCACCAATATATGCTATTCCATTAACATCGATAAGTACGACAGAGCTTTATTGTTCTGTCTGTAATAAGAAAACTGTAAATGTTATTCTACCAACACAGAATCAAATTCACCACCAATGTCCATCTATTCTGATGTACTATTCAACACAGACGACTCTTCGTGCTGTAGTAGATCTTCATATTGAATTAATTGATGATAGTTCACAATGCAAATATACATATCGACCATCATCTGTCTTATTGGTAGATGAATATAATGCTTTATCGGTGGTAAAACTTGAAAATCTTTTGGTCTTTTGTAAAAGTCCTTATCAAACAGCAACTAAATTGTCTCTTGATAGAATTAATGAACTATTTCATACAGCCGAAAAGACAATAGTTTTTCTACAACAGGTAAGAAGAAATGAAACATGCAAGACTACGTTTTCCAAATGGTTACTTTGCTAGTCTTAGAACAATTTTTTTTAACTCTTCAACGATACACTGTTACACGTTCAGACTCGCCTAGATTTGTAGTTTGAGTTCCTCTTCAGAACGAGTGGAAGTAAAAAGCAGAATAACTGTGAGACTAAAATGCGAAATGTCATATAGCTGCCGTCACTTCATTGGTTTTATTTTTGAACGAGTCTCCCAGCACCTCCTTATTGAATTCTTCACTAACGCAGTAATGAGATAATTCAAATTTGAGAAGATATTATTGAACTATGGTTCTTGCCGACCGATGAGATGGACAATGTCTGTTACGGTCTATGATGATGGGTGGAAAGTGGATGAGAATAGGTGCTTCAAATTTTTATCTTCCACAATTCAACATCAACAAACACTAAATAGTAATTAAACAGCACAAAAATCATATCTGTTATATATTTGCATTGAATAATATGCAAAAAATAACTATCTACAAATCTAAATCACAGTTAACTTAATTTAACATTCAAACGACACAGAAGAATTTTTTAAACAAAGCTCCTGAACCCATAATGTTCATATAATTTTGAACTTGACTTATAATTCAGTCAATAGTTTATGAGTATTTTTTTAATGGACATATTATTTCAGGTGTTCTCAAAAGGATGGAAAAGTTTTATAGTGTGTTCGGAAGAAATCTCATCCTTCCATAGCATAAAATATGGTAGAAAAGTTTTGTCTCTGTAATTTAATCGATTATGTCTCTGGGGAAGCTGTACATAGCTAACTGTTCACAATATGTAACTAGTTCAGGTAAAGCCATAGCTATTGCTTAGAAAAAACCTTCAGAACTTATGAATCTAACACAATACTATGGCCACTAGCAGTCATGTGTGAATTTGTTCATCTTAAATTTTTTGAGAACAGGAAGGGTTTTAAATAAAGTACATAAATAATTTATGCTTATATAGTTAATACTTTGTACAAATGTCATATAAATATGATTGATCAATTTTAATCATCAATGGATCTTGTGTTTTGCAGGATTGCTTTCAACTGTTTTAGAATATTAGCAATCATTATCTCACATTTTTCTACAATTAAGCTTTTCATAATGATGAATATTCTTTTGACATCATAGAAGAAAATTAACTGATACTCATTTAAATGTTCTCCAGTGATGCCGCAGAAATTTTATATTGAATATCTATTATGCTTTTAACATCGAAATGAATATGAGAGACTTTTATTAATATTGATCACATCTACTGATTACCATGGTAGGTTCTATTAAACTGCCATGGTAATCAGTAGATGTGATCAATATCATCAATTCAAATTATAAGTCTGATCAAAAGTGTATATGAATAAAAAATAAAACGATTAAATGAAAATTTGTTTCTTGATTTTTTTTCCTCCGAAAATCCAAGGTAAAATCATTGATTAGACTGTATCAAAATGAACATAGCGTAGTACTACAATTATTCACTTTCCAGCATCTTCTCTTGAATCAAGCTCATCAACTTCATCGAGAGATTACATATTTCGGCCATTAAAATATGTATGGGTTTCTTATAGATATTATGTGTTAAACTGAAATCGATCAAAATCCTTGATTGCTTCTTTAGTTTTATATTCTCAAGATATCTCTTATACTGATTAACAACTTCAGTTCAAAAATCACTCCTTATCAAAAGTTACTAGGAAACAGCAACACTCTTTGCTTTTTCAAAATGATAACGATAACGTGAAACGCCATACGTAACGAAAACAGGTTTTTTTAATGAAAACTTTCTTTCTATTTTAGTCAACAACAAGAGCAATTTCTACGCCTTTTTCACTTAAATCACCTCTACCCGTTCAACTTGTCAATAAATCAACCGGTGTAAGTATAGACTCTTTAAACCTCTTATATTTATGCATGAAAGTTTTTTTTTTATTCAGAAATCATTATTTGGGTCGATTCGATCTTTAACAGTTTCACAAAACTTTCGGTTAAACAAAAAGTGAACGAAATTACTCATGTGACAATATAACTTCTTTGGAACTTTTTTTATTTTCATTAGCATTGATCTATCTTTTTTCGAAATATTTTTTGTACGCTATACTTCATATGCTTCACACGTTATTTGATGCCACTAATGATAATTGTATAATAAAATTAATCATATTTTCTTCAAAAATATTGATTTGGCTTTGTAAGGCAATTTGAAACCATAATTTTTTTTGATGTACTTATTTTACAAAAGCTTTAAACTATAAGTCTGTTTTATTTAGAAAAAAATGTATTATATGTATTATAACACAGGATAATTGCTATCATTCAGCGCCCTCTAATAAATTTGTCTTCGGTCGAGAGGATATGTGCAACATGGCTCAATGGCGATTTTTGTGTGTAGATGCAAGTGTGTGTAGCTTATCTTAACCAAGAAATAACAGAAACAATGATACTGATTCATTCTTTTCAACCAATAACACTATTCGATAATTCAAAGCGCTACAATCATTATTAAACTGAAGCCATGATTGTTTGGTTTTTTTCTGTTACTCTAGTGAAACAGAACAGTCATCGACGTGTCGACTTTTCATTGGAGAATTTTTCTGTCAAAATGCTTACCTTCAATCACACGTCAGCGAGCATATATAAGACCGACATTTTTTTTCTTTTTTTATATTATACAGACGAGAGACAAGACATAGCAAAATCGGTTTTTCATTGCCACCAGTACGTGAAATTAACGATGTGCGCGTCAAGAAATGCACATACCAATGTAAGTATTCAGTTAATTGCAATTATCTCGTTGACTAACTGATGGATTTCCCATGTGTTCGAATACGGTCGAAATGCGGCGCGCCTACTCGTAACTGCGATGAAAAAATCGCAGCTGTGCGTAAGTGCGCTGCAATTGGAAGAAGAGTTGAGATGGAAGAATTTTTCTTTTTCCCTCTACTGAAAGGAGGGTATATGCGCCAAATTAGCAAGGTTCGTACTTTCGTTCGTTCGTTCGCACAGAAAGAAAAAAAATGTTTTTTTGACCTCCATCACGGAACCTAGGTTTAAAGTTTGACCATAGGTAACCGGGGTCGAGGAAGTCGAATCCGTGATTAGTTTGTTTTCGAAATTTGTTCATAGAAGGTCATTTAATAGGATATGAATAGTGTTTCATTTTCTGATATGATTCGTATACGTTTCATGAAAATATGCGGACTGTATGAAATCGTAATAAGTTGAAGTATAATCCGCTGCAGCGTGTTATCATTTCTTGGTGCGTAGATTATTGGAAAGCGGTGTATGGGTGGAATAATGCCGCTCTTTAAATAGTAATTAATAACGCTTTCCAGCGTTTTGAGCAATCATAACTAATCTGTTGAGTTCTTTCATTCTAGTTAGTGTGCCAGGCGAGTTATAGTTGGTTAGAAATTTCTCCTAAATGAATCAAAACTTCGCAAATTTTCCATGAATGTTAGAAAGCCGCTGTGAAAGTTTTCAAGAGTAGGATAGGGTATCTTCTTTCAAGTTTTCTAATTTCGGCGCTTGACAATTAAGCGCGTACGCTGCTGCGGCTACATCTGCCTTCGAAATATAATTTTTTTTCACTTTCTATTTTGTTAGTTTTTCGTTAAGTATTGGTTGTGCCTCATCGCATTGCTTCCACTTTCAGGTATACGGTGAGCAATGTAGAAGTTTCTTGCTTCAACGTTTCTGTCTTTTTCATTTTTACATTGTTACTTTACTACGTTCTCCAGTAGATTTGAGAAGTAGTTATTCAGCAAAAAAATTTATTCCAACATCGACACAGCTAAGAACAGTACCCACAGAGAATTGGGCTGTATAACCATTTGCAGATATCGAAATTACATTTGGAATTCACTTCAAGAACGATAGGCGTAAAATCCGAAAGTCTTTTGAGACGATTTAACTCAAGTTTCATACATTTAAAGCTTCGATAGGGTCTGAGCTTCTGTGGAAAGTTCATTTAAGTGAAATCGGAATCGTTCACAATAAAGGCTTGTGCTCAGAATTTTTGTCTAAGATTTTTCTGTAGTTAAGCGTATATTTTCTTTTGGAATAATGGGAACGAAAATCGGGTAGATTGTGTGTAGCTAATGATGACCTATTAGAACAGTACACAAAAGACTGGTCGCTGAATAGAAAGATTTTCGAAACAATGTTTCACATGCCTCAGATTCTTAGACTAGCTTTCTACCGCTCGATTTTTTTCAGCCGTAACGGTGTTTTAGACGAGCGGAACAATGAGAAAATTGGACTCTCAGTCAGATCGTTCGGTAGATTCTATTGAGCGATATTTATTCAGTTTTCAGGGCAACAGCGTTTACAAATAAACGAAGTCAAAATCATGAAGATTATCTGTAGAAAATGAGAATCTGTCGGCAAAGCACATTACAACATGCTAACGGCTAGCCGTGAGTGGTGCTCCGGAGGGGCGCCGACGAGCGACTGGTCGCTGAATAGAAAGTTTGTGGAAAGAACATTTGAGGCCGGTGAAACGAATTGAGTGATCTAATATCAATCAGGTCTATTCAGTTGTGGCTATTCATTGGGTGAAGAAAAAAATGAAAAAAAATTATTTGAAATAGCCTCTGAAGTATGCTCGTCCTCCAAATAGCACACATAAAAAAACATTCAAGAGAAAGCATTACGCTGAGGATTTTTATCGAATGTCTTTCTGTCGGTAAAAGCCAGAGCTTTCAGAGCTCTATCCTATTCTTCCCATCAGAAATCCTAGAACAATCTGACAGGATCTTGGCAAGATTTGTTCAGGATACTATCTGAAAGCGTAACTATTTTTGTCCGAAGTATATTTAAAGAATAAACAGGATTATATTCAGGATTTCGCCAGATACCTTCAAATATGTTTTTAAGTATAAGATGCGGAAGAGTGCAGTAAAAGAACTGTGGAAGTATCCTGGTATGAATAATGAAGAGTCTAAGTGGTTGTTGAGAGAGAAAAAACCCATATTCACATTCTAGTACATTTACATGCATAGTGATGAGCAAGTTGCGTGATATGGGCATCAGTTAAAATTAGTGTATTACATAGACGAATGGTTCTTTTGAATTGCATTTTAATTTAGCCCTTTAGGTTGTGGCAGAAACAAAGTCATAGCCCAGTTGCGCACTGAGAATGGTAATACTTCTTTTATTCAAATCACATTATGATCATTGATAAAAGATTATACGCCAGAAAGATCACTGCATGGAATCCAAGATCTGGAACTAGTCAGACTATTGTATTTTTAACACAGTGAGTTCCTTTCAGTAGAGGGCCTAGCGACCGAAAAGTCGCGTTACCTTGTTATTAAGATCTTTGCCATGAAATACAAAAAAACTGACAGCTAAAAAACTTAAAAGCGTTAAAAATTCAGAACACAATTTATAGCAATTATAATAAAAGCATTTGACAACATAAAAATTATCAAGACAATATAAAAATTATCAAAACAACAAAAAAATATTACTGAAAATATTACAGATCTAGAAAAGTTAGAAAAAAAAATATGAAATTAAAATAAATTGTGAAAATCAAAAAAAATAGGAATGAACAAAAATTAAAAAACTGAAAAATAAAAGAGAAAAACATTATTTATAGAATAAGCATTCTATTTATTTATTGCAGTAGAATGAATTAATTATGAACGGAAGTCTGAAAGAGACTTCCTTTTTACTGTTTTTGTGTGGCTAAATATTAAATGTAGATGTCACCAATTAAAAATGAGGAGGGATCACTTGAATTGGTTCATATCATTTACGGTGTATCATACAATACGAGTAATGCGACGCATTGGCACTCATGCGCGTCGTAGTAATCACATTTGGACTAGAGGATTTCATTACGATCAATGCGGCGCATTTATGCACAGCTACGATGAAAATTTCGCAGTCACACGCAACTGCGCTGCAGTTGGTAAAAAATAAGCGACATGAGTTCTTTGTATTCAATCAGACTCATCAAATCTTATTAGTGAAAATAATTCACTAACAAGGTTGACTTAATAAAATCTAATTCACAGCATGAACTCGTTTTTATCAATGATGATTCATCTTGAGAATTTACAAATGGGTTTGCATAGTGTTTCTCAGTTGATGAGACGAAAGTTTTGTATCGTTGTTTTGCTATAGAATTGAATGATTTATGATTTTGATTTCGTTACAAAGAAATGAAGTTTACTTTTGTTTTGATACATTTTTTCTTGAGATTAGTTTTGAAAGTATGATAAAATTTTAATTTGTGACAGATTAAATTAGAACAAAGTTTCATTTTGCTTATCTCAATCAACGTCATTGGTAAAGATTGTTCTATTCTAAAACACAAGAAACATCTGGTGTTATGGTTGTCTTATATTAACTGTACGAAAAAATAGTTAAGTTTTATACAGTCTAGTAAAAAATGTTACGTGATTATAAAGCCAATTTATAGAATTACTGTGGTTTTAATGTTTAAAAATTATCTTATTTCTTGTATCATTGTTTTCTTAAGATATTAGTTGTTTGTTTTGCAACTTTGCGAATTTATGTCGAGTTATAGGATAGCCCTTGTATCTATTTTGACTTGTAATAATACTGTTAGGGGTAGTAAAATAACTCTCAAAAGCTGCGCGTAGCTTCAGAGAAGACTAAGGACTACACTCACGTACATACGAGAACTTTCTCGTGCACAGCATTGCGTGTAATCATTTTCACTTGTTCTGTAGACAGATAGAAATTCAAATAACGATTCGACAGTACAACGGCGCAAAGAACTTCATGAACATCTTATAAAAATATACGATAGTACTGGCAGATATCATACAAGTCGAGGTATTCACAAGAATATATTACTGATTGGTCGTACACGTAGTGGTAAAACCACTCTTCGAAAGATG